GTGGTGGTATGAAACGCAATGTGGAAATTGAAGGGGAATCAAAAAGAAGAGGAAACTGTTTTGGCTTTAATTTGCAGCCTCGTGATTGTGTGAAGGAAAGCGTTCTGCTCCCTGTCACTTAATCTCTTCCCTTGGCGGCTTGTTAGCGTTTGGCAGGCGCACGGTCTCTGTGCTGAGAACATTCTCGCAGCCGACACATTAAAAAAAAAAAGCAGCCTCCGCTAGGTATACATCACTTGCTAATTTCCCGGTGTGGTCACAATTCAGCAACTGACAATGGAACGTTGTGATTTTACAGGACAAATAGCTTTGACCCTTCTGGGTTTCCCTCTGCCTATTTCACCCTCCCAATCCTCCCTCCATCCCTCCACTACCATCACCACATCCCGTCTCAGGTGGCAAGATACAGAAGATCCTTCCTTCCTTCCTTCCTTCCTTCCTTCCATCCTTCCCAACAATCTATCGGGGGAAGCTATTATTTCGGAGAACTGGGGAACAGCGAGGTCCTTCCTTCCTTCCTTCCTTCCCAACAATCTATCGGGGGAAGCTATTATTTCGGAGAACTGGGGAACAGCGAGGGGTGAAAACAATCGCCCGTACAAGCTCTCAGTGTGCCTGCTGAGATAGTGGCATTTTTAAAGTCAGTTCTTTTAAAACCTCCTAAACAGAAATAATGCAATAATACTCTTAAATTGCAAAAGCACAAAAATTCTTCATTTTTTTTCTTTTTTAATCTGGCAAAGCATAGATCTTCACTTTAGTCAGGCATACATTTTATTTAATTTTTTGTTGTTAGGCTCGACAATTTCTTCTTTTCAAGTATTTTCCTTTTAGTCACATACAAGGTTAATGCATAAGCTCTTTATGCCATGGTTTTGAGGCATTCCTGCCCCCTTAGGCTGGAAATAAGTCCTTCCAAGGCGAAAGTTCAGTCTCTTTTGTAATGGTGCAAATCATGACGCTTTCTTTCTTTCTTTTCTTTCTTTTTTTCCCTTTCTTCCTTTCTTATAGGTGCATCCTAGAGAAAATCTCTCACCAATCCTTTCCGAATTTAGCCGTATTCTTTCCAGGATTCACACGATATATAAATCCTTCCATAGGTTAAATCTTTCCATTGTTTTTAAGGGGAAATGGATTTGATTTTGCTTCGTTTCCTTTTCCTTTTCAGACGGGCCGTGAGTGTCCACTCAAGGCAATTAAATAAAGACGGGTGGGAAGTTCTTAGATCAGCGGCAGGACCTTTGGAAGAGAGAGGAGGAAGAAAGAGGCCAGGGGTGGGGGGTGCGGAGGGTGGGCTGGGGTTGAGGCAGTGGAGAAGGAGAACCTGAGATGAACCTTTTTATCTGGTTAAAGGGACTTCCTCCCGCTGATCCAAGGAAACAGAGGAAGCCTTGCTCAACACCGAAGGCGTAAAGGTGAGGAAAGAGTCCGACCGGGTGGTAGCCGAGCAGGTAAAGTCCGAGCCCGCGGGTCTTTGGGGCAAGCCATTGGTCTGGCTCCCGTGGCAAGCCAAGCAGGAGCAAGGCCCCCCTCCGGCACCGCTCAGTCCGTGGGTTGGGGCGGCGTAGAGAGAAGGGTGCCGGAAAGCGCAGAGCAGTTCTGGTCTGGGGTAAGGATGGGAGAGGACCCGAAAGGTATCCAGAGGTCTCAGCGGCGAGCTGAAGGGGGTGGTGGCAGCGGCGGCGGCGGCGGCCGAAGCCGGCGTAGCCCCAAGGCCCATGTGGGAGTAGTAAGGGAGAGGCAGGTGGGAGGGGAAAGGGTAGGGCAGGTTGCCCGTGGCCGCCGCGTGGCTCATCATGTAGGTGTAGAAAGCCGGGTCCGCGGGATGGGGCCAAGTCATGGCCAAGCGCTGCCTCTTGTCCTTCATCCGCCGGTTCTGGAACCACACCTGGCAGGGACAGACAGAAGGACCACTTAAAATCCCCGAAGCAGAAGAAGAAAAGCGAAACGAAGAGGGAACCCAATTACGGCACTCCTTGGGGCATTCGCTTACATGCTCTGGGCTACACGCTGAGGCACGCTTCCTCTAGAGTAAGCCCCATCGAAGTTAGTGGGGTTGACGCCTGGCTAAACGGGCATAGGGGTCAGTTTCGCACGTGCCACCGGAGTCTCTAAGACCATCGGAATAATTCAACCTCTAGCCTGGATAATGGAGGAGCTTTTCTGTCCACCCCGCCCCCCCGCGCGCCTTTGCAATGCCCAGCATGATGAAAAGTCCTGCAGGACTCGAAACCTCCCATCCTAAGGATATTTTAACGATCTCATAAAGGTGATTATCTTTCATAAAGGTGATTTTGGATATTGCCCCACTACCTTTCTTTCTTCTTGAATAAATTGGCATTTTGCTTTATCAAACGCCTGCTCAGTTTTATCTCAGTTTCATAAAAATGAAAGGTGACCCTTAATAGGGGGTCACCTTTCAATAGAAGAAAGTGAGCTTTCTGCTTGTTTATGTTTCTTGGCTAGCAATCTCCAGTAAGGGCTTGAAATATTAAAATGATTAGAAAAGTCGGTCAGAAGAGTCTTCCTGCAGTGATTCATCTTGCTCGAAGTCCACAAAACTGCTTTTGCTGTATTTCCATCAATCTCACTGGATCATGAGAATAACTTTTCTCTGTATCTCCTGTGTCATGCTTTTATATTACCCAGGACTGATCTTATTATTTTCCCTAATTAGCTGGTAGACATGTACACGGAGTTCCAGAACTGCAGGAACACAGTGGAGGATTGCTGCTGCTTTTTCTTTCTTCGGTTACCAGACGGTGGATTTGTCATGGAGGACCATTGTCACAACCATAATCCTCATCTCAAACTACATAGTAACTCTGTGTTCCATTGGCCCTGCCCTGCCTTTCCTATCCTGCCGATTTTTTTAAGTGCTCAAAATGTTTTCAATGTTTTCAAATAATCCTTCACTGTATGTGTGTCTGCCTAGCCTTCTGAAACTAATAGGAGACCCAGTCTTTCCAGAAGAAACTACCTTGAATCGTTGGCAACCTTGCTGTAATGGAAATTTCATTACAGTAGCAGTTGCACTGGAAAACAGTCTGTAATGTCCAGATTGGGCCATCCTTATAAAACAAAACAGGCAAAACTGGGAGTTCTAGTCTGAACCATCTTGGGGCCATATCCTGGGAATGTTTACAGGGAAGGAAATCTAATTTGAGTTTAATGGACCTTACTACTAAGCAAGTATGCAAAGAAGGCAGCTTCAGATCCTGTTCTGTTAGTTGTGTTCACCTCTGGTCAAATCCTGTACAATTTAGGATGATCCTGTCTGGGCTTCCCAGGTATCTGAGATGTTCAAAGAGTGGTTTACCATCTTTCCCCCAGTGACCAAGGCAGGATTTAGGCCCAAGTCTCCCAAGAGTCCTAATCAGACACTCTGTCTGTTAAATCACATTCATTTTCAAGCAGGTGTTCTGTGCATTCCTCCAAATGACAGCCTGATAAACTCAGTTCAGACCCCAATTGTTTCTATTCTGAATTTAAATCCCTTTGAAATCAGCAGGGCTGTGTTTGGTTGCAATTCAGGGACATTGATTTCAGAGGAGAAAATTGCCAGTAGGCCTGCTTGTTTCTCTGAGGGGACAAGAATCCCAAAGGAATAGTAACCTAAAGCTGGCCTGCAGTTGCTCACAACTTCGTGATAGTTTCAGTTCATTACCATAAAGGTATTTATGATGGTTTAGCATTAGTTTCCCTGACACTGATTAAGTGTTGTGATGCAATCCTAGCTGTGCTTTTCTGAGAGCAAGGCCTATGGAAATGAGGGGGATTTATTCTCAGTAATCTCCCTTTAATTAGTGTTTTTCATCAAAGAACCACAATGAATTGGCATGGATCTTAAATCCCAACAAGGGTGGGGTGGCAGACAGAATTTGGAAACACTACTATTTTTGGACCCCAGGTCCCAGAACGTCCATGCTGGCTTGGGGATTCTGGGATATGTAGATCAGGGTATGAAATTTCCCAGTTTCTGCCCTAAGCAGCTTGGCTACTGGGAAGACAGAAGAGAGTCAGAAGGGTACTACCTTGATGGTGGTTTCTGGTAGGTTTAAGGCAGCCGCCAGTTCACATCTCCTGGGCCTGGACACATAGTTCTCCCGATAGAACTCTTTCTCCAACCTGGCAATCTGTTCCCGGGTGAAGGCTGTACGGTAGCGGCGCATTTGGTCACTGGCACTGCAGGCCAGTGACCCTTGAGAGCCCCCACTGTTTCCACCGCTGCTGCTGCTGCTGCCTCCGCCAGCACCACCACCTTTGGGGGGATCTCCTCCGATGCCGGGACTGCCTGCAGAGGTCTCCGAGCATTGCCCTATGAAAGAAAGCCAAAAGGAAGCTAGCCAGTGACAGAAAGACGGCTGCCATCCCCACCCCGTTGGCCACCAGCTCTGCTCCCCCATCTCGGTCTAGAGAACCTCAGTGTACAGAAGGGGAGGGCAGAATGAATGCCTGTGGATAAAAACCAGCTCAGCTTGATGTTAGTAGCTTGGTGGTATGGGCAGATTGGGACTGCCCATCAGACCTGCAACCAAGTTAAGCCATGGTACCAAGCTCATGCCAGAAATTACAGGGCCAGACTGACCATGTCCTACTCAGATGAAAGATCCTCAGAATTCTGTGGACTTGCTTTCTACTCCAGAGACTGGCACCTTAGAATCCTATGCTGGAGATCTACTGGGAAGTTTGCCTTGTTTATTTCAATGGGATGTTTTCTCAGCAGAGCCTGTTGTCCTATTAGACATCTGAAAGAGAGTAAGTCCTATTGAACTCATTGGGATTTCAGGTAATCATGATTGCATTTAATTAGTCTGAGACTTCTGCTTTCTTGGAAACTAGGTATGTTTTAGAAAAGAGGGAAGAACATACCATGAGGGATACCTTGTGTGGTTTGATGGATAGAGTAATGGAATAGGACTCAGGAGGCCTGGGTTTGAATCCCACTCACTGAGGGTTTGGAACTGATAAAAGTCTGTCCTTAAATAAGTTACTTTGAAAACCCCACACATAACAACATACTATGAACTCACAAAATCAGGACAAAGTCCTTTCAGGGCAGGTGTTGAGATATGAATTCCAAACAAATTTAAGATCTGAATGCCAATATAGATTTCTCCCCCCACATCTGCCATCCAATGCACTTGTACATAGGAGTAAACATTATGGATCATAACAGGGTTTATGTACAAGTAAATATGCATAGGATTGTGGTGCAGGAGGATTATTTGGGATGTACATTCTTTTGAAGCCAGTTCCATTTCATTTCATATTTAGCTTCTGGCTATAAGATGGTCAGGTAGGCTGACTCAGAAAGTGTATACATTGATGTCCAGGGGACAGTCCTCCCAAATAATATGTATATGCTTTATTTGTAATAACTCATGTTTATTTCAATGGGATTCTAAGGCCATTGAACAGAAGTCAAACATTTTCTGATGGCAAGCCCACATGGGTTTAGATCTGAGAAATGTGCACTGATTTCAGCCACAGCAACCTGGTGGATGGGCAGAATTTGAAGGTAAGGATACACCTGTGGTGGAAGGGAAATAGGCCAAGGGGAATGGGAATGAGAGAGGCCTGCCCATCTCTTGTGTACTTCATAGCATTTTAAAGCCTGTTATCTCACATACAATGAAACAGACTTCAATTCAAGAAGCTGATGCTTTAATCTGTCTTTAAGGTTACACAGAACTATCTGTCTGGAAATTACATGCAGGTGAATACACAGGTACACCCAGAAGAGCTCAGCAAAAGAAAAAAAAATCGGTAACAACCCCCCCCCCAAAAGGCAGCGATATTAGGGGGATGTAGTTTCTTCAGTACAATGTGAACTGGATAAAGACATGAAGTCTGACAGCCTCAGGTGGAATCTCTTGTTTTTACTATACAAAAGAGAAAACAAGGTCTTGGTACCTAAATACTGGGACTCATATCTTGAGGGCTGCGGGGGGAAAAGTTACTTGCCTGCCTACCCACCACCGTTTTGCCCTTTAACGTCGAGATTTTTAAAAATCAGTGGTCATTTACTGTATTGGATCCACTCTAGCAGTAAGATGGGAAGATCTGCCTCTCTCTTTATCTCAATCACCCCCCCCTTCTATCTCTCTTTCAGGGAATCGAGATGAGAAAAAAAATTCTTGGATCGAAGAGGACCCTTCTTCCCCCGCCCCACTCTGGTCAACGCCTTCCCCAAAGTTTGGGGCTGAGGGATGGGATGGCAGAGGGGGCATGAGAAGGCCGGTTTTCTCGAGGCTTGGCTTTCATATGCAACCAGTCCTTATGCCTGGGCGCGACCAAAGGCAATTTAAGGGCCCCGCGACACTTTCGAGCTGGCGCCACCAAGACAAGAGAAGTGACAAGACAATCGGGACCTCGAAACAACGTACAAATCGGCCCTCAGACGGCTTGACCTAGGGATGGAGGAGCTGGGCAGGTCTGCAGCGCTTTTTACGGTCCTTTTGGAGGCAGGGGGTCGGTGAATGCTTCCGTGCTCATCTAAGCACACGGCAGCCCTGCAGGACACACACACACACACACACACACACAAAACGGACACACACACACGAACACTCACCACCACACACCAATTGGCAACCCTGGCCAGCAAGCCTGCGGATTTCTTTTGATCTCGGCCGAACTGAGGGAAGTTCCAGTTCCTTTTCCCTGCCTTGGGAAAGGGGAGGGGGAGAGGGGAGGGGAGGAGGAACTCAAAGTCCAATAACCCCGGATGGGGCGGTGGGAGGTTGGAAAGCGAAGCGGGGGCTCTGTGCGCTAGAGTACGAAAAGGTTCTGGAGGAAATGGATTACAATAAAAAGTCCCGGCGGGAGAGGATGAGTGCGAGGGTTGGTGGGAACCTGCAAAGGTCATAATCCGCGGTTGCAGGGAGGATGCGATTTCATGTCTCCCCATTAACACGTCGTTAGACTTCAAAGCGGGAGATGTGTGTATGTTGGGGGGGGGTGATTGCCGATGTCTCCCTCTGTGGGCAATTAGAGATACAAGGAGCCCCAGTCTGTGGGTCCGGGGGGGGGCGAATAAAAGGGCGAAGGAAACACACAAATAAAAGCGAAGGCAGGGCTCTTCAAAGCGTGCCAACCTGGTGGGAGGAAGGAGTACCCCTGCCCCTCAGCATCTGGCCCTCCAGTGTTGTGGGGACCGAGTGGAGAACAGCAGAGCAGGGCTGGTCCTACCCCCCGCACCCCCACCCCCCGTGGTTTCCAGGGGCTGCCCGGCAGCAACTCCTGTCCATAAACTCCAGGAGCCACCCGGGGAGGCTCCTTGGCTGGCGCCTGT